AGTGCACGTAAACAAACAATAAATATAAGAAGAGTAAGAAAATAAATATACACTTTAGGACTCGGGGTAAAGGGATCAATAACAATTTAAAATTTATAAGTTACAATTTGATGATTTAAAGTCTCACACAACCTGTCGAAAGGGGAGGAAGACCTGCTGCTTCCAAATAGAGCACATTTCATCCATAATGATGTAAATCCAAGCCCATCATGTATTCATGATTTGAATCCTGAGTTCCCAGAAATAAACCTTAGACAAAGTGAATCTGTGAACTAAGCTGTAGGTCTGTTAGATCATGTTGTGGTGATCCTCGTTGGGGGATTTGTGTTCATACTGGAGGGCAAAATTAAAACCAATGGAAGATGGACAAGAAAAGTTCAAAGCCATCAGGGCGCCAAACAGGCTAGGACCGCCACTGTTGCTGTCTATATTATTGTTGAAGTCCTAAATTATGACCTTTAAAATGTTTGTGCTAATAACATCATGTGCAGTAAGACAGACATGGAGAACAGCACTGACTGGGAGGCTTTGAACAGATGACACACTCAGTTCAGTTCAACATATAAGACTTTAAGAACGCACAAGCATCTACCTAATATCTATTTATTTAATCTATCATCTGTGATATTATTATGTACAATTATAATTTATTGTTCATCTCTGTTAAATAAACAGGCAGCCTTAAAGTATGAAATATTCATATATGAAATTTGTCTATTAGAGTCTCAGGGGCTGATAGTGCCCCACAATCCTCAATGTGAGCTTGAAGCCATTATAATGTTTAAGTTGTTTAATGTGTAGGTGCTCACGATAAACAGATTTTGAATGAAAGTCAGGGAACTTTGGAAGCACAAAAAAAGACTACCCTTTGTGCCCATATGGATCAGTCCGTTATATTACCATCATTTCCCCCCTAAGGTGTTATAAAAGCACCAAGTTAATGAAAAAGCTGCAGCAATTCACATAAATATAAACAGTATTCTATTTACTTACTACTGACAACTTCACTTTTACCCTTTAATCAGAAAACCTTAAGTTGGCTAGTTATGTATCGGGCTAATGTTTATAACGTTCACTTGGGGGAAATAACTCACATTATCATGCCATAACTAACTGCTGTACTAGCGCTGCCATGCAGTGGTGCCAGGCAGCCCAGGAGGAGAAATTTTGCTTTCAGACTTTGCGACTCATTTTATTTTTCTATCTGATGTGCTGCAATCAGATAGTTATTTGTGGTGAATGAAATACAGTTACAACTTCAAGCAGTTTGAAGAACCACAACTAAAATTCAAGCACTTTTCAAACCTTGAAAAGACAATATTAAAATCCAAGCATTTTTAAGGAGTTTAAGCACCCGTACGAACTCTGTTAATTCGTGTATGTAAAATGTTTACCCCCCCCACCCCCGATACATTTAAATCAAATATTAGCTCTGAATAAATAAAATGTAAAAGTTCAAAATCTTTATCAATTAACACCATGCAATTTCCTGAGAATAAAATCACACCAAAATTAAGTTATAAACTGAAATCACAAGCCAATCAAACCTTGTTTTATAAGGTGATATATATTTATAAGGCTTGCAGATGTGCCGAGAATTTCAATCTGGTACCTAGTCGCTGTCACTCTACTGCTGGCTTGCAATTGGAGGTCTGTATCTCTTGAAGAATATACCTTCCCAGAGCATCACTTACTCACTTCCAAATCAGTCATGCTATGTGATGCTGCAGGCAGCATAATATTAACCACTGCATCTCCAGACTCTTTCATGTGTATCACATGTCCCCAGTGTGACCCTGCTCTCATTCGTGACAAGAATGGGTGTG